AAAACTGCATGAGTGCACTGCAAACTGAGATTGTGCCTCATTAAGTGAGCTTTCCTATAGTGAAACAGGACATGGTACGGTTGTGTTTTAATGGAGGGAGGAAGAGAAAGAGATATGGGAGGGAAATGAAAGCAGCAGATCACTGTCTGTCCCTCCTGCTGCCTCCATTTACCATCATTGATTGTGCAGCCAGTCTGAATTAATGCCTACCTGCTGTACTCAGATGGTCAGCACTGATGTGTGCAAGAGGGAAAAGGAACTGTGCACCCTCTTTTTTTTTTCCTGTAAGCATTTTATTTCACGCAGTATGACAGCTAAGTGTTGGTGAACTCTTCTTACACTAGGGACGATAAATGTCCACCTTCAAGGACGTATTCCTTCAAGATTTAAAGACGTGGACATCCCGCAGACATGAGGACATTTTGCGGGTAATTGCACCTTAGGTTCAAGGATGGGAGGTCAGTTAAAGGATGGTGGAGACTACTCGATATTGATGGCAGGTTGTGTGAACTGGTACCAAGAACCTCCAGGAGAAATCAAAACAACCTCAGTTTATTACTTTAGGAGTTATATGGGAAAACTGATGTCGATCTCTCGTCCGTCTGTAAAATATAAAGCTATAGCCCGCACCCAGCAAATTGAGATTAATAGAGAGACTGGTGACAGAAGACAGACAGCATCCACCTACCTCTAAATCTCACTAATTCAGATTATCTGTGTTTTGTTTAATTCCCACAAAACCCCAAATAAAAATAACATATTGTGGTTTTATGAAGGCTTATATGTGGGACTACATCCTCTTTGTAATTTGGATCCATATAAAACAGCTGATTCTTTTCTGTCCTCCATCAGCACACTTTTATTACCTTACTCCTGTCGCTTTTCCATCAGTACATAGTAATTCTACTGGTTATATAAAATATACATGTGTATATATATATTACCCTGTCCCTTTGACTGTCCTCACCCTTCACCCTGAGGTGGCACATTTCAAACCCTTTTTCTCTCATTTCTCCCACTTTTGTTCTCCCCTTCCATCCATCCGTCTCCCCCTCTCTGTTGATCCCTCCCCCCTGGGCGATGTGGACAGTTGGATGGCTTTGTGTTTGACACGCGTGTTGGTAGGACACACACACAAATGCACGGGCACACACACTTCCAGTTCCTATTGTCAATAAGATGCTCAGCTGTGAAGCCCCTAGCCCTAATTGTGTGGGGTAAGGACAGTGCCCTTATTGTCCTGCAGATTAGCGCATACGCACACCCACCCACACACACATGTGTCCTCAGACCCCATGGGGTCCCTTTAGAGTGGATGTGCCTTGAGGCAGAAAATCAGGGGCAATTTACGAAAGGGTCCGTTAGGGGATGGGGGATGTACCGCAGTCCTCAGCTTGAAGCTATAATGTCAAACACTTTCTTTGGTTTCTTATTTAGGATGACAGAAGTCAGTCTTGTGGTGTATTAATGGAAAAACATGCAAGAATTTGTTTTAGTGAAGCGTACTGACAATTTACTCAGTGGCGTTGATGGATATGAGCCCTGAGATGCAGAAAATATAGAAAGCAGTTAACAGAAATCTTCCTACCCTGCACATTTCTCTTTGTAGCAGGATAAACATTAAAGTGATCAAACTCAGGGCAGTTCATTTCCTTGGTTTAGACACAATTACTTAAGGAATGAAATCTCTATATAGTATAATAAAATAAAGGAAAGATTTTGTGTTTAACACCTAATGTTACTTTATCGCTTCTTCTTGGATTTTGCATACAGTATGTTATTGCTGTCATGCTGGACAAATGCAATCAATTTGTGTGATCACTGGTTTGAAGCAAAGCCTCCCAAAACTAAAACCCGGAAAAGCCTCTTAGCCACGAGAATTAGGGGGCTGAGTTTGGGGGTTTGTATTTTAAATGCAAATTAGAAGTACATAAATTAAATAAACAAGAAAATATACCTTCACCTTGTGATTTGACGCATTGTGTTTACAGCTGATCCTAGACTATGATGACAGAATACAAAGGATTGCAGAAATTAAGCAACCAGGAGTTCCACTTTATTTCATGTGAGTTTGTCTAAAAATAAACACGGGGAAAGTCCAAAGTTAGATACGCTTCCATCAAAAAACAAAAACAAAAAAGCTTTCTGTGGAAATGGAATCTCAGATTCTTTCCCAGATTTCTGACTTTCCTTTCTCACTCCTTCCTTGAAGCCTACAGTGAGTGCTTACATTCAAAACCACTGACCTTCGGTGGATGGTATTTAGAATAGTGGCAAGTCAGTAAAGACGCTGGTTTGAGTACATGCAGATGTATGAACACTATGTAGGGCAAAGGTAATGTTTGTGACCCATTCAGGTGATCCATAGCTCCCAGTGTGTTTATTCACATCTGTACATTTCCTCTTTTCCACCTTGAGCCTGAATGAAGCCAGTTAACTGGCTCTGACGTAAGTGTGTGTGTGTGTGGTAGTTCTCAGCACTCTGAGCCATGTTCATGTTAACATTTTAAAGACTTTTTAAGCATAGGCAAGTTACACAGTGACAGCGCAAACAGGAAAAAGAGAACGTTCACCTTCAAAATAAAAGTTTTTAAATACAAGTGACCAATTCAGACTTGAAGCGCTGAAACCAGTCACCAGAATATTTTTAATGTAGCCCCAAAAAGCAGTCATTTTTCACCGCTAAGAACCACTCACCAACTAGTTAAGGATTACACATGTTCCCTTGTGACCAGAGGTTGTCAGGGGGTCACTGCCCGGTATCCAGGCCTGTGTGACTGTGGTTTACTATTATATATCTCTTTTAATCTATAACTAATGTGTAAAACAGCAACTTGCTGGTTTAGTGGGCATAATTGCCAGACATTTCCTTGACCCCTAACAATGATGGAACATCTTGTAGAGACTTTAGAATTCCTGATTCAATCCCATAACAGAATGTTTTAGATAAAAAAATACAAAAAACATAGCAGCTATCCAAAAGCTATTCATGCAATCTAATCTGATCTTTCTTTATCTAACACTGACACACACACACACACACACACACACACACACACACACGCTGAACAATGCATCAGGGACAACTTGGGGAGCCAGGGACCAATCCAGTCGACCGTCTCTTCCACCTGAGCCACAGCCATCCTTCTCATAAGGTATCCAGCAGTAGCACCAAAACCATTTTCACACATGAAATATAGACATTTCAGGGATAATAAGATCTGGACATTGTCCCACATTCTCTGAAACTGCTATTTCTAACATGTACACACGAACGCGGGCAATCCACTTCAGACGTGTTCTCACTACTGGAGTATTTCTACGCCCTGTCCTGGGTGAGAGGAGGTGTCTGGGTAGAACATATTTCGTTCACTGGTATTGAACTGCTATCTGCATTATTCCCACCTTGGAACAAATTGGTGCATTCTAACATCATACAAGTCTTTGTTGTTAGATATCAGGTAATCTCTAGTAAAATCCAGGGATGCTGTGAATGCATTAAATGATTTAAATTCACAGCAAAGCAATAAATATAGTCCCCAAAACTCTGAACTGTCCCTTGAAGTCTCATTTGTGTTTTCGTTGCGGGGTGGTGGTGTTGTACATGAACTCCTCATTAAACGTGATCTCACTGTTAGTTGTAGATGTCTGAAAACAAAAGTCATACAAACCAAGATTTACTCTCACACAACTCTCTGTTATTGCAAATTGCGCTTGAATGCCTGAGCTGTCGTGTGATGTAATGATACAGTGGGAGATGTGTTGTCGTGGGGGTTTTAGTTCCCCGGTGGTCATGGGGAAAGGAAGCTCATACAGGAAGTGAGCTGGCAGGGCCCCGGTCCTGCAGGATTACACATCCACACGACTATGTATGTGTTAATGTGTCTGCGCGTGTGAGTCAGCAAACACGTGTGTGCCGTGTTTTCTAAATGCCACACGGTGATGAGAGAAAGATCCGAGGACAGAGTGTCCGGAATGTGCTTGTTTTGTCTGTAGTACTCTATTTACTTTCCTGATTTCTTAATTGACTGATGTAGCTGCAGGAAAAGGCTGATAAATGAACATAGTCATCGCATCACCTCAGAGTTATGCAGTAGTTATGCTGTAATTTGCAGTTGTGGGCAGATAAAGGAGGTGACAACAGGAAAGAGCAGCCGGCACAGAGTGTAATAGAGCAGAACAAAAGAGAGCGGGGGTCATCACCCAGACAGCACTGAATCTAATGTGCTAATTGCACACATGGAAAGTGGACAAAAAGGAATACTTGGTACTCAGCAACAGTAATCAAACACTGTGAAAACAATTATTTATTCTTTTAACCTTATTTTTTTAAATCTTTTGCTTAATAGCTTTTGCAAGAATGTCGTCCTCGTGTGTTTAACTGTAGCTTTCCACGTACCAGTGCACGTAGGACACGACCTGCCTTTCTCACCTTATCGCCTGAAATGTGCACATGATCCGCTCGTGCACGTGTCGGGGTGAACGTGTACGTGAACATGTGTGTCTGTGTGTGGCTCCAGCAGTCGGGGCGGGGGTTGGTGTGGTTGGTTGGCTCTGTGTGAGCTCTTTGTGAGAAGTGGGGAGTCATGGGTGGGGTGGGGTGGGGGGTGGGGGGGTACCGGGTGTTTCTCTCAGCTGCCTGCTGGTCTGGTTGCTGTTGGTAACTTTGCTTGATTAGATCAACGGATCGGCTTTCAGGCCTCTCTCCCGCTCCCCCACCCCACCCCCAGCTCTCCTCTCGGAAAGGCTGAAGTGGAACTGAAACTGGAGTGGTGCTAAAAGTCAGCGTGGAGCTGCGAGTTGCGGCGGAGGAAATCGTGACGGTGCTGCCTTGGAAACGCTCGTCGGAGTTCGAGCACAAGTGAGTTGGGGGAAGGTGGGGGGGTAAGAAAAGAAGTGATAGCCTCAGGACAGATAAGCTCCAGGGAGAGAAAAAAGGGAGGGAACAAGGGAGGGAGGAGGAGGAGGCAAGAGGGAGAGAGAGAGAGGTGGGAAGCTCTCAGAGGAAAGCAGTCTCTCTCTCTCGCTCTCTTTCTGTCTGTCCGACTTGCCGGCTGCTTCTTCTTCCTCCTGTCTTTTTGGGTTTTCTGGCTGCCGGCGACTGGCTGGAGGAGTTTCAGCTTGTTTTTCGCCTGCCTTTCGGATTTGAACATGGACTCAGGCTGAACAGCTACGCGCACTGAGCTGTGAGAAGAGTCACTGGAGATTCCCCGTAAGCAGCTTGATCTGATCTGATGTCTACAAGGTGAAGTGTGTCTTTGCTCAAATATCCCGCTGAGAGAGATTGTTGCTATTTCAGGAGTGTGTGTACTTGTGGAAGAAACAGAGCAGCCTTGGAGCGATGAAGTGCTCTTTGTGACAGTTCATACAGGGATAGACGATGAAGGTTAAAAGTCGCTGTTAGTATGATTCATTTTTCATCATGTTTACGAGAGACGGTGATGAGCCTACGCATTGCTGCTTTTGCTGGAAACATTTCCTCCTCTTATGGATGCTGCTTCACACTGAGCCTCTCCTCCCTCCGGCTCTCCCTCTTCTTGCTCACCTTCTGTTGCTTTTAATTCTCTTAATGGTCTCGAGGTCTCAGCTGGTCAGCTGGGATACCCCTGTGTGTGTATGTGTATTTGTGTGTGTCTGCTTGCGTCTGTGTGTGTGTGTGTGGGGGGGTCAGCTTTTGTTTGGGAGAGAGACAGTTGGGAGTTCTGAGATAAACTACCTCTGGATTTCCCCCCTGCTCACATGCAATAAGATAGATCCTGCTTTCTATTTTTAAACACTATTGTTTGTCTATATATTTGTGAGCACCTGACTGCTTGCTCCGCAGTAGCATTTCTCTCACTGTTGTGTTTAGTCTATGGATTGGGGCAGGAGGGCGTATTTGTGTAGTCCATTCTGGGATAGAGAGATAGCAGCTCTCCTTTCTGACTTTATCCTTTTGTTTTGTCAGCTGCTGACCGCTGTTTTCTCTCTCTTCCAACCCTTCCATTGTTTTTTGCTCCCTTAAGCTCTCTTTATTTCACTCAGATCCAGATCCATGCAGCTTTACTCCTTTGCAGCCGCTGCTATTTAACATTTTCTGACAGCTTTTGTTGATTTTGTAATTCCTTTTTTGTCTTTCTCTTCTTAAAAACTAAGCGAAGTGGGGAGGGTTCTCAGTGTCATGCTGTGTCCCTCTCATTCTCTCTCACTCTGTGTGTGTGTGTGTGTGTGTGTGTGTGTGTGTACTTTTCTCAATCAGATATCCGAGCAGAGCACCATGTGAGCTGTGTCTCAATCCTAAAACATACAGTTTCCATTATTTTGGTTTTGCCAGTCCAGGTGTCTAAATCTCAAATATAACAAGTTGTTACACGATGCTGATCCGATGGAAATGTCAGGATGTTGGTCCAGCACTTTTGCCTAACTCGGATGGCATAAACAACTGAGTGAAATGCCACGAAGCTTTGGTTGCCATCATTAGATCAAAAAATGTAATTCAGCCAATATTTTTATTTCATGACAGCCCCATTGTTATCAGCTGAATTTTGAGGTTTATCCTCATTACCAAATGTCGCTTAGCAAAAATGGTTAGCCATAAACTGCATCTAAGAGATGCAACTAGACGTCCTCCTGACATCAAGCCTTGAGCTGGTCACAATGATAGGCCCGCCCTAAAGCGTGCATTGCATTATTGTCCTTTTTGACTAATGGGGGTGTGCGTTAAGAGTTCAACCTAGCCATCAGGTCACCAGCAAAGAGTGTAATGGCTTCACAGATCGTGGGAGCTGGAGGTCATTTTCCCATATGCTTCTGTAGTGCTGAGCTTTGTTTGCAGTCAGTAGTGTCGCCTCCTGCTGGTCAGTAAAAAGAATATACATGCCAGACGCTTGAGCGCTGATGTCACTTTTAAAGCCCAGAAGCCAATTTTTAGTTAGTGTGGCTAAAAGGGTAACATCACTCCTGTACGTCAGCATGTCAGTATGTTAACATGCTGCTGTGGGTTTTTCCTTTATTAGAATTCTAAATGTGCGTTTTGCAGGTTGACTAATTAATAAACTTTTAGCTCCAAAAAACTCCCCAGTGTTTTGTAGTTGTATAAACAGAATATCTGTGACTCAGAGTTTTCGACATCATTACATCATACGAGGTATATATGTATATATGTTTTCAAAAATTTCTGGGTTGTGCTTTCACTTGTGTGGGCGTGACACGTTTCATCACACTAGTGGAAGCGGCTCAGCTAAGTGAGCGAGGCAGCAGCAGTGCGTCATATTCACACAGAATTTGATGCAGTTTTTTTACTGCTGGGGTTGTGAATCTGCCACAGCTGCCCCAGAAAGCTTTATGTATGGCATTGCCAAGGCCGCGTCTGTGTGTGGACACGTGTGTCCATATGTCTGCGAGAGAGGGGTGGATAGGCTCTGCATAGCTGTCCATAAAGGGGTGCTCAATCACTGTAGCGCTAATGGTCTTCCCTTAGGGCGCCATGGATTTTTAAGGTGTTGCGACAGGCATGGAAGAAGCATAGCAGCTTAGAAGCAGACAGCATCCTCTGCATCGTAGAGTTTCATAATGCTGGAAAGTAGATCAGTTTCAGTTCCTAAGTCACCCGTTATTCTGTTTAATATTAAGGCGAAAGAGCAGAGCACATTAATGTGAACCGAGGAGGAAGATGTAGGAGATGGAACATGATTCATTAGGGAGCGTCGTTCCAGGCAGCGTCTCTGTAAAGTTAACTCTGTAAAGAGTTAACACACTGATGGAACAAAGAAGGAGAGCGAGCGGGAATCCATCAAAAGCAATGCATCAGAGATAGAGTAAAAAAAAAAAAAAGTGGGAAAAGGAAAAAGGCAGCCATTAACTTTCACGGTACATGTGTCATTTTATCTGTGAGAGAGTGTTTGCGACAGTGAGCATGTGCAATAGTATGCAGCTATGTCCGGAGTTTTGCAACCTGTGCTTTTTCTGCTTGCTGAGCTTGCATTGCCATGCCACACGCTAAACGCCATTACAAACTGATAGGGTGTCAGTTCTGCTAGTCTCCCTGGATTTAGTGGCACTGGAAGGCAGAGAGAGGGTAGCAGAGACAAATGGGTGAGGCAGCGGGAATGAGAGCTGAGAGAGAATTTAAGGAGAGTGTAGCAAATACAGGAAAGCTGTTGAAAACAGCTGTGTGAAGAGACAGGAAAGCGAGAGGGTCAAACCTACAAAGGGTGACTGCGATAGAGCGTGGTAACGTCTCTTTCTGCTGAAGCCTAATAAGTCCAGAGGTGTCATCAGCTGGAGGAGTTTAAAATCCCAGTCCACTGTCTCTGTCTGTATTTTGACATCATGTTAGGAGCCAGACGGTACAGTTTATGTCTGGCTCTGGCATCTTCATCTACCCAGGGATTCCCTCAGTAGGAATGAATGTCAGCAATGTAGAGAGGATGGTAGTTTGTTTAATCTAGTGGGTACAGCTGTTGCTATGAAGAGATGCTGTATGTTATAAATGTGTGTTTGGGATTGTGTGTGAGTGCTGGTTTTGTACGCTGTGGTGCCCAGATGTCCTCCCAGGAGTGGAAAGTGGAAGAAGTGACCATTTTGTGATTCATTTTCAGACGTCACGAGAATGATGCAAAGTTGCGGTAATTTGGAGTGACAGGCAAGGTTCACATTTGGGCTTCGAACAAAAAGGCAAAGCAGGGTTGAGCAGAACAAAATCATGAGACACATGAAGTTTGTTTGCCTGCTCCAAAGCTTTACAGTGTTTCCTGACAGACATCTGTGGCGCTGCGTGGTGAATTTTACACTAAAGAATAATTAATAGATATTTTAACTGTTTTTCTTAAATTCTTAAAGCCAACCCGTTGACATTCCTTCAGAGGGAAAAAACAGACACCTCAATATGTCAGGAGGAAGCTGCTGAATTTCTTGTTCAGTAACTGAAACAGACACGCGAACTTTCAGCTCGCTGCTCATTGTGTTTAAATGGATGCATCTGTTTGACTGAAATTGAGTCTGGCTCTGTTGCATGTCATAACCTTTTTGCTCTAAATGAATGAGAATGTCTTAAATTGGCATTTTGGCAAATAGGCTAATTTGCTTTCTTGCAGATGAAGTAAATTAAGATTGAAAACGCCCCTGATAGAAAATTACAGCGAGCAGCCTGCATAGTTAGCTCAGCATAAATAATAAAACAAAGGGAAAACTGCTATCTCGCCTGTATTGAACTAACCAGCTGCTGGTATATTAAACAGACAGATTTAAGTGGTGTTTGTGGCAAGGCAGGTGAGTAAGTAGATTTCCAAAGAATATAATAATACGATAATACGTATGATTTCTTCTGCTGTCGCTGTCTAAAGGTGGCTGTGACTCTCAGGCTAGACATTCACGAATGAACCGATAATCAGGAAGCTATTAGCCGTTATCCTTTGTAAACGTCTGCGTCGTTTCTTTAAAAGTCCGTGATTAACTGCCAAGCGAGTGCACACTCGCAGTAAACACCGGCGCATTAAAGACTGTGCTGAAGACTCGGGACAACTCGGTTTCTGTTAATCACAGTTTTATTTTTAAAACGGTTTTATTTTTATAAACACAGCGCTCAGGGTTCTTGGCGTAATTTTTGTGGAAAAGCCCACAGACGTTTCTAGTGTGTTCTCAGAGGGTGGTGCAGTATGAGTGAGAGGTTCCTCGGCAGTTTCCTTTCCCTGTGTGTGAGCTGTCCCTGCATGCGTGTGTCTGTGTGTGTGACTTCAAAGCCTGTCTGCCCAGTCAGAGCTTGCTGGTCAGTTTCAAATGAAACACAGTCCGTGAGACAGGCCGACACACTCACACGCACTCGCGCACACAGTGCACGCCTCTAATACAATGTTACATACTCACAGACACACACACCTCCCCCGAGCTTCCAGGTGGCGGCAGCTTGTTAGTGGTACAGCAGGAGAAGCCAGATGAAGCCAGCCCACACCAGCTGCACTGCCCTCTACCTGCCTTCTTATCTCATTCTTTTCCAACTTTTCACCTCACTGTTAGTGGAATTTTTTTCTCTTTGTGTCATATCTTAAAGACGACTTTGCCGATCGTCTATTTTAGCTTTTTTTTCCTTCGTTTTTCTTTCTAGTGTCTCTTCTGATCCTCCCTATCCTATCCTACCTTTGCATATTCCTTCCATATTAAAGCTAATCAAACTCCTAATTTAAACTAGTAAAAGAAAATTGATGTCTCCTACCACAATAGTGGCGGTGCACAATCGCGTACTATCTTGTGACATTATAGATCAAATGATTAATTGACCAAGAAAACAATAATCATGGAGTTATTAGAAAAAAAACCCCTGCCTTCTTTTGCATGTGTGTGTATTTGGCACGTGCGTAGCTCTACGTCAGCTGCTGTCCACTCCATACCTGCCTAACTCTAACTGACTGCATGAAGGGATGAGTGCAGTCTTAAAGGAGCCGGTAGCAGGAGAAGAGGAAGATGGAGGGAGGGAAAGTAAACAACAGATGGTGGAAGCATGTTGCTGCTACTCGCAGCAGTATGCCAGCCCACCACCAGCTTCTTGCGAGGTTACTATGCAACGGTGACCGTGACGATATGGAGGTCAGAGGTCAAGTGCTTCCTTGATGATGGCTCCGTAATGCCACGCGCCGGGCCAGACTGAACCAGCTGAGACACATGTATAAAGACGCTGAGAGAGATGTTTTCCTTGGCTGAGGTTTGGCGGCGATGACTGTTGAAATCTTCCATGCAGCGTCCACCCTTGACCCACCTGCCAGCAGTGATGACACACACTGAGGCAGCTGTCTGTGCTCTGTCTGTTTGTGTGTGTGTGTGTGTGTGTCCGAGCGGTGAGTCGTTTCATGCTGAGGAGTGAACTGAGTAGTGGCATACATTGGCTGGTGTGGCTGGTAGGTGCCATGACCTTCACGGAGAGGGGAAAAAGAAAGAGAGCAAGAGAGAGAACTGGAAAATGCGCGTGGTCAAAACGAGACGCTCGTATTCGTGTTGTGGAATATCTTTCTGAGGACCAGCTTTAGGGCTCGGGTGTGAGGACTTTGAGGAAAATGACGACATTTGAACTGATCCTGTGTGGAGTTAAAAGGTTTGAATTAGGGTTGGGGTGAGGCATTTCAGCTGTGATGGCTGAGGGTCAGCCCTGTCCACAGACTATGAGTTTTTCACCATTGTTTTTAGTTATACCTTACTTTTTTTGATATTGTTAACCTTCAGATATTTTGCCATTCAGTCCCCAATCTTAATCTACAGTAAAAAAAACAAACAAAAACAAAAACAGAGTTTGAGAAACTTTTGTAAAAATGTACTTTATTGAAATATTTTTTAACTCAATGTTATTTTTTTTAGGCTTAAGTAACTAGTTTGAGTAAAAAAAAAATGAGACAATAGACCCTATTTAGAAATTTTGATACAGTAGCAGAGCAGTTTCTCATGTAAACCATAAATAGCAGTTTGTATTGTCAATAGCAGAACGAGGTTAGATCTTCAGTAGCTGCCTTTTGTGCTTTCACATTTTTTTGTAACGCAGCGCAGTGTTGACAGGTAAATAAGGTGCGAATCACTCATATTGAAGTGTGAGACACTCTTACCAGAAGAAGCGTCAGTTCATTTAACACACACACACACACACACGCACGTACACACAGACAGTCACTTTGTGGCTTATTCAGGATGAGGTAAATACAAGCAGCAGACATGCAGGGAGCTGTGTGATTCACTTCCCCGTTTGCATGAAGTGTGGCTGTTTTCCTGTGAACAGGAAGCAGAAGCTGTCGTTCCAGGAAGAGATCATTACGTTGGTTGAAGTGCACCGAACCTGCCTGTGTGCGTGTGACAACGAGAAATCGTGTCTTTGTAGCAGCTTCGCAGCCTGAAATAAGGGTTTCAATTCGTTTACTGCAACAACTTTAAAAATAATTACTAAAATAAACAAGTTATTTTTTTGTCTATTTAAATGTCCAATTTCCAATTTATTTAGATGTGCGTAAATCAAATAGAAATATCACAAGAATGTTATAATTACGTGACCGGATTGAGAGAAATTAATGATTTGGATTCCCAAAGTGGAAGTGAAATAACAAGAAACGAATTAAAAACTAAACTAAAACTTAAAGCGTCTACAGTGGAAACTGATTTTTACCAATGAAAACGCAAACTGTTTCCTAAAAATGAAAGTATTAACTGTGGTCACAGCTCGCTCTTGTTTTATGTGTGTCACACACATGAGCGTCAAAGACAGAACTGGAGCCATGTTTTATCATTTTACCAAACGCCTCGGCATGCAGACTAGCTGACGTTTTCAACTCCGTTACACAGAGGATTGGAGATAAATTATTACCTTCTGCTTTCCGTTTGCCTTCTGTTGATATTTTTGCAGACTCAGGCAATACCCATTAAATTTGCATTAACTAAATGAGAGTGTGGCAGGTTCAGATCTGGGCTATGTTGCACAACTGGGCAATGTTTGCACGGTAACATACGTGTGTTGGCACTGGCGCATGACTTTCTTGGTAGGATGCATGATGAGTCAGAGGAAATACATGGGTATTTGTGCCAGTAATTGTCCTGTTCATTGTGTATTTCTCTGAAATCAAAGCCACACAAAATCTGTGAAACAATACGTTTTGCCACCCGTTGCCATCACTGTGCTTCTCTTTCAGCTCCTCTACATTTTCTTTCTTTTTTTGATATCTGCTAACGACTGGTATTCATATCTCTGCTTTTATTTACGTGTTTTTCCTCTTGTGCTTCTCTCAACAGGAGTGACAGCGGCTCTGTCTTTCTGAAGAAATCTGTGGCATGAAACCAGATCACACAGGTCTCTCGTACACCTTCATCTCCCTTTACCACTCTCCAGTTAGAAACACACTCCTCAGCTTCACTGCATTGATGAGGTAACGTCAGGCTCCGTGCAAGAACCCACCTGCAGCGACTCCTCCTTCCCCTCTTCCTTCCTCTTCCTTCTGTCAGTCATTGCACCGCAGCCATGGGCCAAAAGATCTCTGGCAGCATTAAATCAGTAGATGGTCGCGGGGAAAGCGGTGGCTCCCCATCCTATCGACCCCTGACTCATCGCCGGCAGCACCCTGAGCTAAGGGGCCCGGATTTCTTCAAACCTCCCAGGCTGGATCTCCTACTGGACATGCCGTGCGCTGGACTGGAGACTCAACTCCGTCACGCGTGGAACGCCGATGACCGGTCGCTTAACATCTTCATCAAAGAGGACGATAAGTTAACGTTTCATCGCCACCCTGTCGCTCAGAGCACGGACTGCATCCGGGGGCGGGTCGGATACACGAGGGGACTCCATGTATGGAAGATCAACTGGCCCGTCCGGCAGCGAGGCACCCACGCTGTGGTCGGAGTGGCAACCTCCGAAGCTCCTTTACATTCTGTTGGCTACACAGCGTTAGTGGGGTCAGACTGCGAGTCCTGGGGCTGGGATCTGGGACG